CCATGACTCTTCTGGTCTTCGGTCTTTAGTGTTTAATGTATCAAATCTGTTCTTCAGATGATCCCTAAATTCAGGTGGGATCTATTCAAGGTCATATTTTGGGTCTCATGGACTTGTTTTCATTTTCTTCAGCTTCAGTTTGAATTTGCATATGAGTAATTGATGGTCTGTTCCACAGTTTGTCCCTGCATCTACGTGATAAGATGGAAATTGAGGTCCGTAAAGCAGTTGCTATTTACATAAAACCCTTTTGTGTTTTTGTGGCAAAATAATGGGTACTGAATATAAAAGGCAACTCTCTGTATAAGCTGTTCTGAGAAACATTCATACTGGGCTTTTTACACAGTTATTAGAGTAATTGAATCATCCTACCTCTTGGGAGGTATGAGTAAGTCCTTAAGTAAACTAAGATTTTAGACTAGAGAGAATGAATTCCATGTTACTCCAGTCTGACTTAAAGAGGAAAAGTGTTCAATTTGCCAAGAAGAATTCAGTTTTATGCTTAATATGTACAAATGAGGAAGTTAGAAAACGCACAAAGAATAAAAGGCATAAGAAAAATTAGACATATGAAAAATGTTTAAAATATATATATACCAATAGAAGAATCTGTAATTATACTTAAATATCTAAGTTCTTAAGTTATGCTTTGAAGTCCTGTTGTGTGACACTGTAGGATAAGCACTAAACTGCTAACCACAAGGTTTGTGATTCAAACCCAGTAGTCGCTCCTCAAAACCCACCAATATATGTCGATGTGAGTCGAAACCAATTGGACGGCACTTAACAACAACAAAGTAATGCTTTAAACAGGCAATATTTTGCTGGTTCTGTTTTGTATATGGATACTTTTGCAATTAATGCCATAACTAAACACTAAATAACACATATGTAGTCTTTTTTTTTATAGAATATAACTTAGTTTCCTTTATGGTTTTATCAACATTTTCATTCTTAAGGCCAATCACATGTTTTTTAGAAAAGATCAGTGTTGATTAGAATATCAGGTGATTTCATTTACTACTGATTTATTCAGTTATAATCAAGACCCAGAATGAAAAAGAGCTTTAAAAAAATTATCGAGGAAAATAATAGCATCAAACTCACAGATTACTGTGAGGATTAAATGAGCTAATATGTTTAAAGTGCTTTGTAATATGTCTGACATGTTGTTGTTGTTAAGTGCTGTCGAGTCGATTCTGACCCACAGTGAGCCTGTATAGGGTTTCCAAGGAGCAGCTGGAGAGCTTGAACCTTGTAGTTCAAATGATTTTGCAGCCTGTCGCATTAGACCACAAGAGGAAAATATAGCATCAAACTCACAGATTACTGTGAACATTAAATGTGCTAATATGTTTAAAGTGCTTTGTAATATGTCTGAATAAACAAACTGGGGGTGGGGGTAAACAAAATTATTGTGTACGATAATTATCCATTCCCACAATTGTATTTGCTGATGGATGGTTTTTCAGTAGAGCTAGTCTTACATGTATTAAAGAAAACCAAACATCAAATAAAGTTAATAAACAAATATGTTATGATATATTTATGACTAGATACACAAAGTATGTAAGTATATAAGCATTTATTAGGGAGTGCAGTGGCTCCATGCAATAAGAACTGGATTGTGAACTACAAAGTTGGCGGTTCAAGCTAACCAGTGGTTCCAAAGAAGACAGATGAGTTTTCTGTTCCTAGAAAGATTTAGTCTCAGAAACCCTATACAGGTCACTATGAGTTGGAACCGATTTGATGGCACTCAACAACAAGATTGATGTAAACCACAACCCACCAACCAGACTTCCACCATCAATCAATAGAGAGAGAGACAGAAAGAAACAGGAGAAAAGGGAGGCATTGGGCTGTATAGCACCACAGACTCCTATTGAAAAACCTAGTTTTGGAGTCATTACTGACCCAAACCATATAAACTCTACCTTTCTGGAGCAGAAAAGATTTTAAAGCCCTTTACAGATCATTCCAGCAAGAGGAAAGTTCTGATGACATGATTTCAAAGACAATGACCCAAATAAAAGTATTTTGCAGTGGAAAATTTGTAGCACTAATAGGTGAGAGTTGCTAGGCAACAAATTCTGCAGTGTTTAATCTCTACCCTTCCTAAGGAATTGAATGATGAAAGAAAATGAGCCTTTTTAGCATTTCAACATAATAGTGGGAACTGACAATTTTTAGTCTTTAGAATATAATTTCCTTTACACTGAAACAACTATAATTTTTGTTAACAAGTATCAGTGTAGCTCCATGAAAAAACCAAAACAATAGCAACACACACCACACCTTGGTTCTACAGTCCACACTGACCAATAGGAAGGGACTAAGACTAGGGTAAAGCAATACTGAATCCTTAAATATGCTATAAATGATGAAAAAAGATGCTGGTCATTAGAATGAGAGTGCACATGGGTGAATTATTAGTATTAATACTGGGACAATATATATATGAAGAAATGTGACGATTATCAAAGAGAAATCATTGTCTCTAGAGATTAGCTAACAAACAGCTGTGATTGTACAATTTCATAATTTAAAGTACTGTTTAGGCTATAAAATGATATGAAACATAGGCAACATGTTTAAGGAAGCCTACAAAATAGCATGTGTATTTTCAAGTTCATTTCTTAGGATAAAGAACATGAGATAAAAACCTGAATTTAGTAAGTTAGGAAATGCTTTATACGGGTCAGTGCCCTCATCTATAGAAGGAGCTTAAAGCTAAAATTCATGTTGTGATGTTATAGTAAACACTATATGGGTCAGTTCTATATAAAATACAATGTCTAAATACAGAAAATGAAGCTGTTGTAATAGAGACTGTCTAGTATTAAAAAATAAGGAGCTCTGATAGCACAGTGTTAACGAATCAGGTTGCTAACCTCAGGGTCAGCAGTTTGAAACTACCAGCGGTTCCAGAGGAGAAAGATGAGGCTTTCTGCTCCCATAAACATTTACAGCCTTGGAAATCCTATGCAGGGTCAATATGAGTTGGAACCAACTTCACGGCACATAATCACCACCACCACCACCACTATTATAAAATGGAGAGTTGAAATACAATCAAAACTTACAATACAAACTTATCTACATCAATAACCATGCTACATTAACACCTCACTTTTACCACTATTGTTGTTGTTATGTGCCATCAAGCTGGTTTCTACCCATAGAAATCCTGTATAAGGTTTCTGAGAAGCAGCTGGTAAGACTGAACTACCAACCATGTGGTCCAAACTGACTTTACAGTGCCAAACCAGGACTACAGAAGGATGATAATGCTGATTTTTAAGATATTTTAATCATCCAGGTATTCGCTTGTAGCTTTCAAGTTAGCGTAGCCATGGTTCTCTGTTACGTTCTTACCAAGAATCTATTCTAGAAGTGATTACTGCACAACATGGTGAGTGGAGGTAATGTCACTAAATTGGACACACACACAAGTTTGAAATGTTTTATTATATATTATTTCCTTACAATAAACATTGTATTTTTTATTAAAAAATCTACCCTAGCTCCACTAGTAATAAGCAAGCTCAAAGTAATGTTTAGCAACTATTTAACCAGATTAGTATTCCCACTGAAATTTTACTGAAGACTTGAAGACTAGAAACAGAGAATAGAACTAGCATTTCTTTTCAGGAAATCCAATCATCTATTTTAGTTAATACTTAAAAACTAATTTCCCTTTGGTGTCCAATTTTAAAGAAAGCCCATGTCTCTTACCAATTTTTTTGCTTATCCATTCACTTTTCTATGAGAAGAGGAACATACCAATAACTCAACAAAGTCAATAACTCCCACAATTTCATTTATTTATCTGATGAATACACCTTTCATTGTGTGGTTTGGATTGCATTTCTTAAGCTTCTGAACTCATTCTTCAACACTTCACCATTTACCAAAAATCAGCAACTGTTTAAGTCTCATTTGCCAACGGTGCTGCTAGACCCAGTATCACTCTCACTCATCACTGATTACAAAGGACAAACGCACTTACGTGGATATTCCATAAGTGTATCTGGATACTCTTACATGGACACTCCACCTAACAAAGCATGCCAGTTGGCAGGAGAAATGTGTGGCTCAAAAAGGACTCTAGAGTAAGTACATTAAGACACTGAGATAAAACCACACTACCTCAGAGAACTTACCTGAGCAAACTTGTGAATCTGTTCAACCACAGCAGCGAAGAGAGCATGGACACTTTCATCAATCAAACTCTGCATGTAGTGCACCGCCTCCTCGTCAGACAGGTCTAGACGGAATTTATCTTGAACCTAGAAGACAGCAGACTGTCAGGCTTTCTGATGAAGAAACACAGGGCCATATTTTGGAGAGACAGACGCAAACTGATACAAATATGGCTACACTACATCCTGAGCGAGTTCTATGTCCCCTCCAAAATTCTTCCGCATTTACATGTGTTCTGAATGCTATTGTTGAGTGCTATAGTTCACTGCTTTTGTTAACATGCTCTTTTGCTACATGCTAGGGTTGTAGCATGTAGAAAAAAGTAACTACATAAACAGAAAATTTATTTAATCTGGCCCTTCAAATTTAAAAAATCATTCTTTGAATACTCAAATATATGATTTAATATTTTTTAATTAGGAACTACTAAATGAGATTTAAATTGCCACATAATTATTAGCAAGCTCTTTATCCTGTTAGAAACTGAGTGAATTTGCTCATATTCCTAAAAGAGTCAATCTACCAGGCAGTGAACTGGGCCAAAACCAAACTCCAAATGTTGTCCTCTTTGTAGTGAAAATGGCCACTTAATTCTGTAAGCTTTCAATACTGGGCTTTTATGGTTGTTTTAATGGGGTCCTGGGTCTGGAGGACCATATTCAGGCAAGATCTGGGAAAATTTTACATGAAATTAAGAGAGGGCACTCAATCCTACTGTGATTTCATCTTTCTAAAATTTCCTCCTCTATCCACTTAAAATCTTATGCATAAGGCTGTACCCCAACACACTGGAAAATGTCTTAAGCCTCTATACTGGTGTGGGTTAATGCACTGGACTATAAAATTGGTTTGAACCGCAAGGTCAGCAGTTCAAACTCACCACCTGCTCCTAGAAACCCCTATAAAGGGTCGCTATGGGTTGAAACTGACTCTACGGCATTTAACAACAACATACTAATTTAATGTATCATAGCAACAGGATTAAAAAAATAATCACATGATCATTCTGAAATATTTGACAAATCCAACACCTTTTCAAAGTAAAAGTATTCAGCAAATGAGGCATAGAAGGAAATGTCCTTAACCTGATGAAGGACAGATACTTAATGGTAAAAGAGAGGATGTTTTCCTCCTAAGATTCGGAGCATGACCACTTGGGTGCTTTTGCCATTGCTATCCATTAAAGTATACATACTGGTGGTTCTAGCAATTAGAGAAGACATCAGCAGTGATATCCCTAGTTCCACAAAACGCTTCTAAATCCAGATTCAATTTCTGGCAACTGTGTTAAGTACCACTGTGGCCATTTTTAAAAATTGTACTTTCATGTGATAGTAGTGATATCATCCAATGATTTCCACATTCCACTGGGTCACCATCTCTCTTTGGAATGGGTACAAATATAGATCTCTTTCAATTGGTTGGCCAGGTTGAAATTGATAAGCTTATATAAATAATTTTCATTAACAAAAGATATTTTTTTAAAATAATTCAATATTTATCAATTGGGAAATCATAGTATGAGACAATATTCTCTATTAAATTTCCTTGTACTCAATATAGTAAAATCCCCATCCACTGCAACTGAGTTGACTACTACTCATAATGACCTTATAAAACAGAGCAAAACTACACCACAAGGTTTCTAAGGCTGTTTAAGTCTTACGGGAGCAGACTGCTTGATCTTTCTCCCTCAGAGAAGCGGGTGGGTATGAATCTTCAACATTGCAGTTAACCTACTAGGTCACCAGAGCTCCTTATTCAAGATTTTAGAAATTGGAAAAACATCTTTTCCTGGCTCTCATTTCTCAATGATTTTATCACAAAAGTACAACAAAAGAACAACTTTAATACACCAGAATAAAAAGAAGAGCTTTAATCTAAATAATAGTTTCATACTGAGTTTGATTATTGAAGGAACACTAGAGTTTAAAAACTAAAAAATAAGAAAATCCTTATGTAAATAAATTCCAAAGTTTAAAACAAAAAGCAATTAAAATGAAAAAAGAATGCAAACTGAACCACTATCCAACTATTGCTACAAGGTAATTAATGCTTTAAATAATCTTTTGTACTAAGATTACAATTTAATGACTGCTACTTAAAAAAAATAACTACAGTACCAAATTAACATGAAAGTGTGATGGCTTTAGTGTTTATAGATCTTATAGGTACCAAGTATAATTTTAAAGGTCAACAAAAATAGATCTTTAGTTAATTTGTAACTACTGAAATATAAAAATTTTTAGTTTGTTTGGAAGTTTAGTTAAAAATCAATTTATATTCTAAACACATCCATTTTATTTATTCAACACAAAATCAAAGTATCTTATTAAATTACTTTGAACAAACATTTGTTACAACAGTTACAAAAGGCTTCTTTGCTAATTACTGAATTAAAGGAAAACATGAATGACTATCATGTGGTCCTATTTATCACTTGGACTACTTTTCACACTAGCTTTTTCAGGTCTTATTTTTTTTGCCATCACTGATATATTTCACATAAGAATATATTAAGAAAAAAAAAACCTAATATGATCTGTTTGCTTAATGGATAAGCACTGGACTACTAATCACAAAGTTGGCAGTTCACACTCACCAGCTGTTCCTTGGAAACCCTATTCAGGGTCACTATGAATATATTAAAAAAAAAGTTTATAAAAAATACATTTACTAAAATAAATGGAGACAGGAAAATACTGTCATACTTTACTAGGATCATTCAAGTAACTGGAATAATCTGTACTTCTTTGAAGACTTAAAAATTAAATGTACTCTAGCTGTCATACATTCAGGAAGTCAAAGCAAAGACTTTTCAAAAGTAAAGTCAACATTATTTATCAAAGTCTAAAAATCTACTTCTTGTAAATCAGTCATCCAAAATGAACCATATATTTTCGCCCAATCTAACACAATTTTCCAATATTAGTATTACTTTAATGTCAAGTTTATGTTTCATTTTATTTGTTCACATTTTTGTTAAAAATATAGCAGAAACCTCTCATGAAATACCCTTTTGGGGGAGATGAAGGTAATATGTCTTTTTAAAGTTCATTTCATTGAAACTAGAATAAATAGCTAGAAAATGCCAATCTGAAAAAAAATGACTGATATATATACTGTGCCCAGTGTTTTTCTTACTCTTTTTCTTTCATATAATGAATTAGTCATGTTTTAAATGACAGTGCTATAATAAGATACGCAAAAAGAAAAGAATGTTATAGATGAAAAATAAAATCACCAGGGCTCTCGATGATTGTTTAGGATGAGCTAAACTTTTTGGTAACTCCAGGTGAGTCTCTGTAGGATCAACACTGGACTTCGAACCACAAGATCAGCAGTTCAAACCCACCACCTGCTCCTCAGAAACCCTATATAGGGTTGCTGAGTAGGAATTGACTTGATGGCACTTACCACCACCACCACCAACAACAAACTTTTCAAGACAAGAAATAAGAGTTATAGGAGCATGGTGTCTCTCCAGAACAGTGAAACATCATAGTTGGGAATTAGAGCTGAGAAGGGAAAGAACTGGGGATCAAGCATTTGGGAAAATGGCTGTATTCTAAAATTATGAAAACATTATGACAGATTCTCTCAGTCAATTTTGGTCGAGAATATTATGTGGCATATAGTGTCACATGCCAATGAGATTTAAGATTCTGTCACATGTTTTTATTTAACTTAACATTACTCAGGAGTCTAGTGGCCATGACAATAAGAGAAAGTGGGTTGCTAAAACTCTAACATATTTTAGATAAGAAAAATAGATTGTGGTATTTGAGGATGTATTTAAATTACCTTTTTCACAGTTTTATCTGGTTCAAGAGCAATGTCTGGAATGTTTGCATCTACCATCAAGGAAAACAAATTCAAGATCAGATTAGAATACCTAAAGGAAAGTGGTAAAGAAAAAAATTTGCAATGAGTTAGAATTCTGTAATTTTCTCATACCAAGAACATTACTAGAAATAACAGTATTTGCAACTTTATAATGATTATCAATCTTGAAGACACCCACTCCTCACTTATCAACATGGTAAGGTTCCAGACATCAGGTCATTATGAAAAACTGGTATTATGCAAATTGGAGGCCATACCTCATCTTTGACATTGGTGACAATATCCCCCATCCCTCATTGCTCAGTGCCTACTGGCTGCTTCTGGTGGAATGTGCTGGAGTGGCAGACTTTGCTTTCTCATCACGGCTTCCCTACCACAGCAGGACCCACAGCAGGGTGGAGTGACATTTAAGACTTATCTTTCTTAACTTACATGACTCATCCATCTACCCCAGCCCAGCAAGTCTCCCTTTACTCTTCCTCACTTCCAACCTCTCTCCACAGACCTCCCTGGTACTCATGAACATCAATCATACAGTCAGCCCCGCCTGCCTATATCCCACCACCACCCTGTACCCTTCAGGGCTGGACCAAGACATTGGGGACGAACAGGAGAAAGTGCCCTGCAGATAGAGACCACTATCCTTCATGTGGTCTAGTTTTTGCTGTGGCCACCAGTATACCATTCAGGGTGGCCCTCAGAGGGTGACCCAGGCTCAGCCCAGACCTGCAAGGAATCTGGACCATCAGAGATGCTGACTGAGAATTGGATAACAAAATAGTCAATAAATGAGGTATGGATATGTACTACAGACGCAATCAACAGAAAATTTACTTTTTCCCAAATCAGCATTTTACTGAACAATGAAGACCCATCTTTGCTAAATGAGAAGCATCTAGTACCTTAAAACTAACTCAGTGTGTGGCACAAGTAAATTGATGAAAGGGAAATGTCCTCCTACTCATTACTCAGAAGAACCTTGTAGGGATACTACAGTTTTCACAACATCACTAGTCATCACTACAGTGACTGTTCTCGAGGGAGACTATAAATAATCCCAAATAGAGAAAAAATAGCTAGTACTCTACAGAATTAAAAACAAGGAAGATACCTAAGTAATGATATTTTTCAAATATGCTGACTTGTGGAGCTAAAGATTTATCCCCAAACTCTCCTTTCCTCAAAGAGGCAGAATGTTTAACTAGCTCAGATGCTGCTTTTCTAAACTGCAGTTATGTGAGGGACAATGTAAGTAAACTTACCCTAATACACATCGCCACTACTCCAGAACACTCTCCTCTTGGGCAGTTATGCTCTGGGTGGTCCCTTCTTAGCACTAGACTGCTTAAGGAGATGCAGTTTTTAAGCTTGGGAATGGATGTGAGGGAAGGAAGCTTTGATTTGAGGCTACTAGAAGTGCCTTTACATTGTCTTCTCCAGAGGGTGAAGGTCAGGGTTTAGCTGACAGACGCTTTATCCCAGTGACCTATCTATCTACATTATAAAAAGCAGTATCTGTTACCTGAAGACTACTTAAAACATTTAATACTCTTACTTCAAATGCATAAGGGAAAGTAAATGATTTGTTGAATATAAAACTGATGATCTGCCCTGTAAACTTTCACTCAATTCACAATAAAAACTTAAAAACAAACAAACAAAACAAAAAAAGCATAGGGGACAAAGTTCCTGCTCCTTTCTTCTTGTTTCAAAGCTAATTTTCTCTAAAATGAAAGCTTAGTATAGAATGGTCAAATTCTAGGACACAGTATTTGTACCATAATATGGGGTAAAGTTTTGATGGAGCTCAAGTTTGACAGCAGTTTCAAAAGCTCACACTATCTTGTGAGGAATAGGAATGCAGGTAGGAAAACCATTTACAGAAGTCTGATGGAGAAGAAGGAATATGGAGACCATTGTTTGTTAAGTGCCACAGAGTACATTCCAACTCACAAGCCACAAGGTATCACAGGGAGGGGAACACTACGATGTATTTTCAAAGGATATATCAGAGGTTCTCAAGCCTGCCTTCCCATCAGACTCACTTAAAAAAATATCAATGGCTAGAGCAATTACAGTCCAAATAAATCTGATAAAGCCCAGATAAGTAGAGTATATTTCGAAAAGTTCTTGAAGTGATTCTTCTTGGCACAGCCAGATGCTACGCTAAACTTTTGCCTTTATGATTTTTTGTCATAAAGCAAATATTAATGCTTTCTGGATTATTTGCTTGTTTATCCATGCCTCTATTATAAAAGTAAAGGATAACAGAATGTAAATAGAGAAATCATCAAAATTTGTGAATACCTTGATTGCACTAATATTGCTTACATCCATTGTCATTACTCCTGCATTTTTCACTTAAGATAGAACAAGTCAACCAAAATAGAAACCATGTATTCAATATCCAACCCAGAAACACAGAGCTTCATGATTACTGTTGTTGTTGTTGGGGGCCATCAGTGGGTACCCACCCACAGTGACCTTATGCACAGCAGGAAGAACACTGCCCCATCCTGGGCCAACCTCACTACTGTTGCCACGTTTGAGTCCATCGATGCTGCCACTCGGCCAATCCATCTCATTGGGGGTCTTCCTATTTTTCTCTGACCCTTCACCTTACCAAACATGATATCCTTCTCCAGTGACTGGTCCCTCCTGACAATATGTCCAAAGTATGAGGGATGAAGTTTGGCCATCTTGGCCTCCGAGGAGCACTATGGCTGCACTTCTACCAAAACGGATCCATTGATTCTTTTGGCAGCCCATGGCACTTTCAACATTCTCCTCCAACACCATAACTCAAAAGCATCAATTCTTCTATGGTCCTTATTTACTGTCCAGCTTTCGCATGCATATGAGAATACTGAAAACACCACGGCGTAGGTCAGGCGAGCCTTAGTCTTTAAAGCTGACATCTTTGCTCTTCAACACTTTCAAAAGGTCTGGTGCAGCAGAACTGCCCAATGCAACACGTCATCTGATCTCTTGACTGCTGCTTCTGTAAGTGTTGATA